TAGCAGGACACTTTCCAAAATTTCTCTCTAGGAGATTTTTATTTGGTTCATAACCTAGTTGTAAACTTAATTTGGGTGATAATGTTACGGATGTTATATTTTTATCCAAAACAGAAATAGACACAAATTTTGTTATTTCATCATAGCGAAATTTCAAGTTCTCTCCGATACCATTTAACACTCTTAAAATATGCTCAACGTTATCATAGTTGGTAGCTGGAGTATGTTTTTTGTAGTACACTATGGATGGCTTATCTTCATTAGGCATTAACATAGATTTTGTAATGTATATAACATGATCTTGAACAGTAAACATGGTACATGGATATTGAAACTCGACAACTCCAACCGACCATTCACCTTCCAATTTAATAGCTTTTGATAATTTCGTTGAAAAATTTGTGGTCTTGTTACCAGGAAAGTATTCCATTGAACTATTGCTGAGCAAAGTTAAATAAAAACTTTCTTTATTCATATTTCTTTTAAACTAGAAGCTAAAATCCAACTGTTAAATTTATCTGGATAACCTTCCTACTTCACTAATACTTCTTTTCTGTTACCTGAATAACGAGTGTCAATTATTTTATCTATTTTATATTTTGAGGTGGGGTTGTAAGTGATTTTCTGTAATTCTCTTTCATAAAAAGTACCAACTATTGGTTCATTTTGTAAATCTGTTATTGTATAAACGACTCATGGAGATCTATCAAATATTGAAGATATAATAAATATTTCATCACTCCAATTTGATTCATATCCTTTTTTGAAAACATGTTTATATTTAGTTATTCGAACATAATCACCCACATTGAAATTTGGTTTCGGATTTTCTAAAGAAAGTTTGTTTGACCGTCTATCATAAAGATTAGTCCAAACTGACATAATATTGTTGGAATTTACATCACATGGGCACATCTTAATACTAGAGTGAAAGCTGTGATTATAAGAGTATATTAAATCTTGTAAAACATCTATATATCACATTTTCATTTTTAGTGTTCTTTGAAATCGTTCAACAATACTGGCCTTAATGTCGGGATTGTTAGTGGTATAGTAATTAATCTTTTTGGATTTAAAGTATTTTTGTACATCTTTTGAAACAAGTTCTGTACCTTTATCTGAATGTATGTGAGAAAACATTCTTTAGTTGTTTCTGAGTTTTTCTTTTTCATTGGTCTTGTAAAAGCATATTTACTAAATACATCAATAACACAAATTATATACTTGAAACCATCATTATATTGAGAGTAAGTTCACATATCACTTAAATCAGCTTGCCACAGTTCTTTAATATTTGATAGAATGTACCTATTACGCGGAATTTTTTTTCGAATGGGTTTATGTAATGTGTATGTTTTTTTTTGTGATTTTAACCATTCCTTTACTTGCTTTTCATTCATTTTACCCTCCATGGCTTTTGATAATTTATCAATACTACCAAAACCAGCGGGATTAGATGCATCATAATAAAGCCTGTTAATTTCTTCCAGTACGGGGTCCATTTTCCCACTCAAGCCTGTTACGTATTCTAGTTATAGACTTTTTATCTCTACTGCTCGGTGTAGAAAACTCTATTTTAGTTATAGATTTTGTATCTCCTCTACTCGGTGTAAAAAACTCTTGAACTTCAATCTCAGAGGGTTTGTTCAGATCTTTTGCTTGAAGTTGGTTAATAAACTCACATCTCTTTGGATTTTGCAGGATTGGAGCAAATCTATCCCACCCTTCTTTTTAAGGGTCTTAGTGAATCATTTATTAAATCAACAATATTACTTCCAGGATTTTTTTCATTATCAATTACGACTGTACCTTCATTATCCCAATGTATTTTACTTTTACTTGTTTCAACTAAGTTTAGTAATAACTGTCCTTTTTTATTATAAGATTTTGGTATTAAACTGAGTATTTGATCTGGTGTGTAAAGTGGATTTTCATCATTTTCATTACTTTTAATGGATCGATTTTCCTCCAACAAAGATTCAGATCAACTGAAGTTTTTAGATCTCTATCTTTATTTTTAAAACCAATTTTAGACATATTTGAATCTTCATTAGATGTATCAGAATAAATTGGTAATCTGAGTGGTTGACGATCCTCTTCGATAAAATGAAGGTATCTTTGCAGTGTTTGTAAATATAACATCCATTTCTTTCGGTCTTCCGTCTTACTATTCATAATATTTTGCATTTCAATATCTAATCGAGATAAACTACTATTAACCTTATTTTCTTGTTTTAATTTTTCAATCAATCCAGGTTCGATAAGTATCATTTTCTTTGCATTTTCCATGTTAACTGGCTAGTCCACTCACTAATTCACTCAATATTGCACCTAATATTATTGGTAAGAAAGCCCCTCCTTTTTGTATAATTATATTTTTTTCTTAGTTTATGTTTACACTTACGCACTAGTTGACGGAGTATATTTTTGTGTTTAATTTTTGTTTATCTTGATTTTAAGAGGTACTTTTCCTTGTAAAACGTTATGAATACACTCACAAATACAGTTAATTTCTTCTTCATCACACGTTTTAAGTAATGCTCTTTGATATTTTGGTTTAAGCGTATGCAAAGCGTTTAGCAAATGTTTATGCGTTGTGAGTCGACGATGCATCATTTAGCAATGATTTGAATTGTTTGATTCTTGGTGTATTTAAACTCTTTTGTGGGGACGTAGACTGTACAGAAACCATTAAATGGGAAGACATTTGTCCAACAAAAATCATTGGTATTCTGTTTTAAATCTACCATTAAATATCCATGTGCATCTAGAGTTGCATCCATGTAGGGATCTTCAATGAATTTTGGGTTATCTGGTGACACTTGTCGTGTTAAATATCTTATTTGAGTTTTATCTCGAAGGTTTTTAAAATATATTATATAACTTGAGTTTAAAGATATGTCTCTTTGCCCTTTACCCTGAAGAAATAAATTTTGTCTTAAATAAAATACACTGAGATTCCTGTGATGACTACCTTTTGTAAATATATCCACAATTCTTCCATCGGACTCTCATTAGATCATCAATAATAACGAGATGTGGGTTTTCACCATCAAACATATTAAGATTTGGAATTCCTTGATGATAGTTAACATTTGGTAAATTATATAAAGGTTGCATTTCATCAAAGCACCATGTGATCTGATTAAAATCACAATTACATATTTCTGTAACTGATTTTATGAAATTTGTTACAAAATTTGACTTCCCACATCCACTTGGTCCTGCCACAATAGCAGTAAACGGATGTATAAAGTGAAACATTACACACGTCTGAAGTTCTAAGGGGTGAAATAAAAAATGAAAGTGTTCGTGTAAACAATTAATATATGTTGTGTACTATAACAAATGTTTTTGGGAAATCATACAAAATTTATGATTAATTTAAAATTTTATTTTCAAGCAATAACCACTTGTAAAAAAACCCACACTTCGTCACAAGAACAATGTAAAATTTTGTGATTATTATTTGCAAATATATGATTATTACACACATAACGTTTGTTTAAAATTATGACATTTACCAAATCATTGTATTTTGGACATTTGTATTCTTCAATATTAAAAATTCTATCATTCGTCGTCAACATTTTTAAAAATTGTTTTTCTGTTGAACCACCTTTGTATGCGATCACTTCGTCTTTGCACAAATTTCTAATATACCAATTTAATATGGGGATGATGTTCTCTTGTTTGTAGGCATATTTTAATTCTTCGGTCACATCAAATTAATTAATGCAGTGCACGTGTGTTTCACAATAACGAACAGTTTTTTTGTCTTTTGGCGACAAATAATTGAAAGGATAACTTGGCCGAAACAAATAATGATCGATAAACGCATCATTTTTATTAGATATTATATTATATTGGGATAGATTAGTTAGATTAAAATACTGCCGCAATTTTGTAAATAGTCAATAAACTGTTAGTTTAGTTTCGTTATTTTATTCGAACGCCCCCAGCATAGTCAGTTTCTCACATAATCAGTTCCACACATAGTCAGTTAGTCTCACATAGTAATAAATAGTAAAGTTTCATAATACAGTGCATAGATTTTTACACTTACTTCTTTTTGGTTCTTCAAGAAAAAAAATAAAAAGTTTTACTACAAATGGGAGTATTGAGGTCGTAGTCCACGGTGCATGCTCTAATTCCAAGCCTATGAAGGCTTATGTTCCACAACACTGCGTGTTATCCCCTACCCAGTTCCTTCTGCATATCAATGATATGTTCCAAACTAGTAACATTCATTGTAATGCATACGACAGCACTGGTGATGTATATATACACTTAGACCATTCAACCCAAATGGTCTAAGTGTATACACTAGCCATGCTAATATTTGTCGGGAACATGTCGTCGAATGTAGAAACAAACTTGGGTCTGAAGTCGAGTCTTTCTCAATCTAGTCCGGTTAAACCAGCAGCGTTCGGGAAATTATGACACATCTTGTGGTCAGGTATACCTCAAAACTTAAAAACGAGATTGTTTACTAGATGGAGTGAGGACATGGTAAGATATGCAGGAAGCTGATGTAAGCAGGTGAGTGAGGACCATACTTTATGGTATTCCTTGGAGGAGGCCAATGTTCAGCAGTGATGATGACGTTAAATATATTTCAATGCGTAAGAGAGGTGCGATTCGTTTATAAAAACAATGATTCAAGTGCTCCAATGGTGCCTTGTGATAATCGTAATAAACTGTTCGATTAAGCTGTCACCAAAATACCTGCCTATGTAGTGTGATGCACCAACGTTAAGAATTTTACAAACAAAATATTCAATAAACATCAGACTAGGATTTACGGGTATAGATATCATTGACAAGAAATTAAAAAGAAAAAAAATTTGTCTATTTCAATCTCTGTCGGCTCAAAGGAAAAAACGCGGGAACCTTGAAACGTGATAGGCGCCTTTTTATAAATTAAAATTTTAATTTTGTTTTGTTTAGTTAAAAGGCACTAAACTTTTATTGTTTTATCGTTACTGGGTTTCATCATCATGGGGAAAAGTAAAAAAAGTTGCCGGGAGAAGAAGAAGTCTTTGAAGTCTGAGGAGGAAGAAGTTGACACCAGTACTGAGGAAGATTCTGCGAAAGAGCAGCGCAAGTATAAGCCGTACTTTGTATCTGACTACAACAGGAGGTACCCTGAGGACTCAGTCCTCGTTGATTCTGTTGTCTTTGTCGAATCAAATGATGAAAGAAGGCCAATCGGGACGCGGGACATGATGTCTCTGTCCACATATATGAAGAGGGTCAATAAAGGCATTAAATATTTGCAATCTATGAATAAATACAAAATAGGCGTTCATTTTGAAAAGCCCTATCTAGCGAATGCATTTTTAAATAATGTTACATTTCTTAATGAATACAAAACGAAGGCATCTATCCGAGCTGTAAGGACAGAAATAACGAGTCATAACTAATGTTCCCACTAATCTTTCTAATTCAAGAATTTTTGGTATGTTAACGACTTACAGGAAGAATATATATATATATATATATATATATATATATATATATATATATATATATATATATATATATATATATTGTGTATATATGTTACAAGGATAATGAGGAAACGTAAGAATGACGCAAGACGCAATTTGATGCAGCCGACGGGCACCGTGGCCATCACATTCACTTCTAATGTTTTGCCGGACCACGTCGATCTCCATGGTTGGCGGTTCGTGGTTAATCAGTATATTCCACCAGTGAAGCAATGCTACAACTGTCTGAGGTATGGCCACTTAGCAAAGTATTGTAAAAATTCTGTGAAATGCTCAATTTGTACTGAAAATCACAGCTACAAAAATTGCCAAGTCTCTTCAGATAAAGCGATATGCGTACATTGCAAAGGAAACCATCTAAGCATTTCTGGACAGTGTCCTGTCAAGAAACAAAAGATAAAAGAAAATCAGCCTAAATTACACAAAACCCCGTTTGACCTTTTTAATAAAAACGATTTCTCCGAATTAAACAAAAAAAACCCTAAAAAGATGCTCTTATGTCACTAGTAAAGAATGATGATATTATTAATATAATTTTAAATACAGTCATTAAAATATTAACTCTTAATAAATCAAATGAACAAACCACTATATCTTCTCAGCTTGTTAAAGATGTTCTCATAGATACAATGAAACCAAAAATAGATATTTCATTATTTATCATTTAATATTTTATGAATCAGTTTAACATTTTACAATGGAATGCACAAAGTTTAATTAAAAATCGCTTTCAATTTACACAATTTTTATATGAGAACACTATAGATGTTGCTCTTATATGTGAAACTTGGCTTAACTAAGCACAATTTTAGAGTAAAAGGTTATAATATTATACGATTAGATTCAGGTAATAATCATAATGGAGTAGTAATACTTCTACATAACAAAATTGGATTTCGTGTAATTAATACATTCTCTCGTACAATACATACGCCGTGTAGTGGCGGTTGAGAATATCCACTACCCCATATCTTCCCGTGGGTGTCGTAAGAGGCGACAGAGGGAAACAGACAGGAGATGGGCAGCAGCATCTTCCTGATAACAACTGTAATATAATAAAAAACTGCGGTTGCCAACCCGCTCACCAAGCGTGGCAACTATGGCAAATATCCCCCCATGAATAACGACGCAAACAAACGGCCCCCAGTCCCAGGCAGCCCCGCTATTCCTGGCTACGGTGGCGACCATGGTAACGGCGAGGCAGGGGGTGCTAAGAATCTCCGGTGGAGGTTCGGTTGCCACCTACGACGACTCGACCTGGCAACGTATAACACACGCACCCTGAGGACTGACGAGAAGATACTGGAGCTGGAAGAGGAGGTAGACAAGTTACGCTGGCATATTATTGGGTTATCCGAGGTCCGAAGAGAGGGGGAGGACACGGTAATCCTCGAGTCCGGCAACTTGTTCTATCACCGGGAGGGTGACCATCTGTCCCAAGGAGGTGTGGGATTTATCGTCCACAAGTCTCTCGTCAACAACGTTTTAAAGATTGGGAGTGTGTCGACGAGGGTCGCGTACCTGATACTCAGAATCACCAAACCGTATTCGCTGAAGGTCATACAGGTTTACGCACCAATATCCCATCCCGATGAGGAGGTGAAGGAAATGTATGAGGATATTCGCAGAGCCATGCATTCCTCCAAAACCCACTACACGGTGTTGACGGGAGACTTCAACGCAAAACTGGGCACAAGAGAAAGCGGTGAGCTGAAGGTAGGGAAATTTGGAGTAGGGCAACGGAACCGACGGGGCCAGCAGCTGGCCGACTTTATGGAGAAAGAGGGACTCTTTATGATGAACTCTTTCTTTCAGAAGCGGCCCCACAGGCCCAAGTGGACCTGGTCGAGCCCCGACGGTTCGACAAAAAATGAGATTGACTTCATTATGACGACCAGACGCCAACTGTTCAGTGATGTCTCAGTGATCGTAAGGGTGAAAACTGGCAGCGATCACCGAATGGTTAGAGGCACACTGAACCTAAACGTTAAGTTGGAGAGGTATCGCCTAATGAAGTCAACGCTCGGTCCCCCTCGTGCTCTAATCCAGAATCCCGAAACCTTTCAGCTCGAGTTACGTAACCGCTTTCAGTGCCTATAAGATTGCAATGCAGTGGACGATATGAATGACAAGCTCGTGGAAACTGTCCATGCGGTCGGAGCTAAGTTCTGCAAGACCCACCGCAGAAGAACACAAAAACTCTCCGATCACACTCTTAATCTCATGGCTGTTAGACGAGAGATGAGGCTGCAATCGTCAACAGATTTGACAGCAACCCAACAAGGCAACTGAACAGACAGATCTCCAAATGCATGCGGCGAGACTTACGCAACTTTAATACTGCTCGTATTAAAGAAGCGACTGAGCGGAACCAGGGCTCCAAAGTCTTTGCCAGAGATCGGTCTGCCAGAAAGAGCCAACTGTCAAAGCTGAAGACTGAGTATGGCAACATCGTTTCCGGGACACCTCAGATTCTGAGTGAGATTGAGAGGTTCTATGGGCAGCTCTGGAGCCACACGCAAGTGTGAGTAACGATCCAAGAGCAAGTCTTATCCGACACTATTCCGATGATATACCGGACGTCAGTCTGAGCGAGATTAGAATGGCTCTCCACCACCTTAAAAACGGCAAGGCCCCGGGCTAGGATGGAATTACAGCGGAGCTTCTGAAAGCGGGTGGAACACCGGTACTTGAAATCCTTCAGAAGGTCTTCAATTCCGTCCTCCATGGTGGCACTACTCCGGAGGCGTGGAGCATAAGCGTGGTGGTCTTGTTCTTTAAGAAAGGCGACAACGCTCTCTTGAAGAACTACAGACCGATTTCCCTTCTGAGCCGCGTCTACGTACTTTTTACGAGAGTCATTACGAATCGTCTCGCACGCAGACTCGACGACTTCCAGCCTCCCGAACTAGCCGGTTTCCGAAAAGGCTTCAGTACCATAAGACCACATACATACCCTGCGGCAGATTGTACAGAAGACCGAAGAGTACAATCTGCCACTTTGCCTGGCATATGTGGACTATGAGAAAGCCTTTGATTCCGCCGAAATTTGGGCGGTGCTACAGTCCCTTCAGCGGTGCCAAGTTGACTGTCGGTATATCGAAGTACTGAAGTGTTTGTACAGTAGGGCTACGATGGCTATCCGAGTACAGAACCGGAGTTCGAAACCTATCCAACTGCAGAGAGGTGTAAGACAGGGTGATGTTATATCCCCGAAACTCTTCACCGGTGCGTTGGAAGACGTTTTCAAGCTACTGTACTGGAAAGGATACGGTACACCTTCGATTTGCCGACGATATAGTTCTTATGGCAGAATCGCTGGAGGACCTTAGAACTATGCTCAATGACCTCAATGGTGTCTCCCAACGGATAGGTCTTAAGATGAACATGGACAAAACAAAGATCATGTTTAATGTCCATGTCACACCTATGCCGGTAGTTGTTGGGAGCACTATGCTCGAAGTTGTTGACGAGTACGTTTACTTGGGACAAAAAGTCCGACTAAGTAAGTCCAACTTCGACCGAGAGGTCAATTGACGGATTCAACTCGGCTGGGTAGCGTTCGGGAAATTACGACACATCTTCTCGTCAGGTATACCTCAATCTCTGAAAACTAAAGTGTATAACCAGTGCGTATTGCCAGTGATGACTTACGGATCTGAGACGTGTTCCTTCACTGCTGGCCGTATGAGGACGCTCAAGGTCGCTCAGCGAGCTATGGAGAGGGCTATGCTCGGAGTTTCTCTGCGTGATAGACTCAGAAATGAGGATATCCGCAGTAAAACCAGAGTGACCGACATAGCCCAACGGCTTAGTAAGCTGAAGTGGCAATGGGCCGGCCATATAGCTCGAAGAACCGATAACCGATGGGGAAGAAAGGTTCTCGAGTGGCAGCCTCGTACCGGTAGGCGTAGTGTAGGGCGACCCCCCACTAGATGGAGTGACGACCTGGTAAGACATGCAGGAAGTCGATGGATGCAGGTGGCTCGGGACTGTGCTTTGTGGCATTACTTGGGGGAGGCCTATGTTCAGCAGTGGACTTGTGAAGGGCTGATGATAATGATAAATACATTCTCTGATGACTCATTACAAAATATAACTGTACAAATACAATATAATGATAAACTATTAACTTTAGTTAGTATTTACTGTCCACATAATTCACCAATTAATAATAATAAATCCAAATTAGATAATTTAATACAAAGTTTGCCACAGCCAGTCTTTATAGCTGGTGATTTCAACGCCCATCACATGTTATGGGGATGTACTGAATTAATCTAGCATGATGGTCAGATGATTACAGTAGGACCTCACAGATGGAGACAGAATGCATCAGATTCTTGTTTCATCTTCACTGCCTCTGTCTTGTGAGTGGCAAGTATGTGATGATGATTCTCTAGGCAGCTATCATTTCCCCGTAAAGACAAAAATTACGGTCAATAATCAAAATTTTCAAGAAACAGCTGTATCAAATAACATAAACTTAAAATTGGTAGATTGGTCAAAATATCCAAAAGTAATAGATAATTTAATAAAAAATTATAGTTTTGATTATAGTAATCCTTTACAATGAACAGATTTAATAGAACTAGTTAAACAAGCCATACATGTATCCACACCATCTAATCAGTCTTGTAATCGAAATGTTAACATCAAGTTGCAATCTTTTAAAAGAAATAAAAAATAAATTCTCCACCTAGGTGGAATTTAAAATGCAGAGGCAGTATTAAATTGTAAAAATGCGTATTTAGTATTTAAGAATGATCCCACAGAATGAAATTAAATTAATTTTAAAAGACTACAAGGTGATAAAAAATTACTTTGAAGACTGAAAGACAGCTCAGCTGGAAAACACTATGTGAAACTTTTAATAGATCTACTCCATTGACTATAGTATGAAATTACATTAAAAAGTTTAACAAAACTTTTGTTCATAATAACACATCAGTCATAGATTCTAATTGGGCTAATGACATTTTGCCTCAGTCGCTACGGTGACTTCGGTGCGTGTGCTTCCCTACGGCAGGCGGGCACTGCTCTCTCACCGTGCCTCCGGGCTCTTCTATACACTATAGGGGTAGGGCAGACAAGACCACGTGGATAGTGGGGTGCTCTGATTCGGTTTTGGGTACTTTTAGGATATTAAATAAGTAAGTAAACATATTTCTTAAATTTACGCGAACACACATGGAATAAAACTAAATTTACGGATTTTATCGCGTTTATTTCACTACTTTTACTTGTTTTTAATTCCCGACGTTTCGGGTGCTTTACAGCAACCATGGTCACGGGGGGGGGCTGAGATGTTTGACGTCCCAATGTCATAGTTAGTTCGGCTACCTTCAGTTTTTGAATATTAATTTTTGGTCCGATTTACGCAAAACGAGCTTATAGTATCATGAAGTCTTTCAGTGGTATGCTTAGGTTTGGGTTTAATTTTGTTAATTATAGGATCCCAAGCAGGTGGCAGCACCCATCCATCTTCTCTATTGAAATTTGGATGTTTTTTTAATTTCAATAGCCTCGCGTATCATCCTTGGTAGGAATCGGTGTTCTTTTGCGAGAATTTGTGATTTATCAAATCGAATGTAATGGTGGGGACGATCTTGAACATGTTCGCAGACTGCAGACTTCCCGGAGCGTTGGTACCTGTAAAGCACCCGAAACGTCGGGAATTAAAAATAAGTAAAAGTAGTGAAATAAACGCGATAAAATCCGTAAATTTAGTTTTATTCAAAGTAAGTAAACACTTTATTGTAGTAAGAATTAGATAATACAGAAAGTTGCAAACAATAAAATACAAGTACAAAAGCTGTACTAATTAAGAAATACAAACAAGTTGCAAACAATGAAATACAAGTACTAAGGTGGAACTAAAATAGAGTAAACTTTATTCTATTTTATATACATATTTAATTGCACTTATCAGCTCTTCATATGCATCTAAAAGGTTTGTCATAATTTTTCGTCTCCAAAATTAACGAAATATACTCGATCTCAAGTAGTATTGATACTTTTGATGCGATACTTGGTATCGAGTAGGTATCGATACTTTCAAAATTTTCGGAACTCTACACTAGTTGACGTTTGACATCAATCATTTGTTAAATTTATTTTGTAATTGCGTGTTATTTGCCAATTTGTATGAAAAGTTTAAAAATATATCTCATGAACCGTAAGTTACCGCAACCTAAAACTTTGCAAAACGCTTTCTTTTAATGAGTACTATCTACAAAAAAATATGGGCTTTGAAATCGATGGTCTATATTGGAAATATTAGCCTAAATAAAAACTATACCGTAAATATAAATACGTAAAAAGTATGGAAAGTGCACAGACTACGGAAAGTGATACATTTTTTATTATTAACTGAATTTACGGCTCTGGGTTCTAACCTTTCTGAGAAAAAATTATACGATATTACTGTGAAAGCTGGATTGCATACTCAATTTTGTGTCTGTGGCGGGAGCAAAGGCAACCTGACTATAGATATCTGATCTGATCGAATCTGTACTAAAATCAAATCAGCACGCCCCGAATCCACGTAGCCTTCTCTGTCCTACTCCTAAAGTGTTTATGTAAAGCCGTAGGTGTGGAGGGAGAACAGCCCCCGCCCGTCGTAGCAAATCGCAGGCACCTGTGCCAGCCGTAGTGTGTTATTATTATATTATATAATATGTTTATAATTTTAAGTAATTACAAAATTTAATATTCTCGTGTTTTGTGGAGTGCAAGAGTGAGCGAAGCGAGCTCGGGACTTAGGGCACTCCGACTCGGACAGGTTAGGTTGGAAGGGGATTTCATTCCCTTCCTTCCATTCCATTCGTGGTCATTTGCTTGTAAACCACTCAGAAGTAGGTGCCCCGCGAAGCGGGGCTTCGTCGATCGTCGTTTCCTCGGCTGCGCTACGTGGTGCTTCCCTCCTCCAACTCTCTCCCCCCCATAAATCAGGTTTATAGTCAAAAACATTACAAAAACATAACCTTAAAATTAGATTTTAAAAAATTTATAAAAAAATCTAAGCATGTCCAGCAGGACGTTGAAATGGAGGGCGACTCTACAACTTCTTACTCTCACCCCCTTAATTCATTTTGAATTATGATTTTGAGGTTAGTTTTATGGAATTTTCTTTTTGATTTTTCACAAGAACGGTGCATTACCTTTTAATGGGAGTGGTATTATTATAATCGATGACCAAACCTCTATCAAATAAAACTCCTTACTCCCCCAAATTCTTGCCAAACGATTCTAAATTTCAACCTTATGCTGTCTTAATCGCTCTTAAATATATAGAAGAACACCTACATGTATCTAATAAATGGTTACTGATCTCTGATAGCATGAGTGTCTTGAAGGCATTGAAGGCAAGAACTTTAGATGCTAAAACGTCTTTCATCATATATGAAATCAAAAGTTTGTGGTGGAAATTGAAAGAAAATAATTTGGAAGTAAAATTTTTATGGACTCAGTGACATATTTGCGTACAAGGAAATGAAAGCGCTTACGCAGACCATTTAGTTAAAAGTATAGTCACAGCTGATATTGACAGGATAACCGGTGTGGCAATACCATATACAGATTTATATTCAACTTTAAAGCAACAGATAAAGAAGAATGGAAAATGCAATGGAATGCTGTTTTAGAGGCAGGAAAAGGTTGTTGGTATGCATCAATTGATTCAGTATTAAGTATTCCTTGGTTTTCTCGCAATGAGAGATATCATAGCAGAAACTTTTATACAATAATGTGCAGACTTAGATTTGGCCACTATCGACTGAAGCTCATTTTTCCAGGATGAGAACAGTAGTATCCGCAACAGGCAACTTCTGCGATACAGAAGCAGATCTGACTGCAGAACATATAATATTTAACTGTCCAGCGTACGCCATAGAAAGATTGCTACACATTGAAAAACTTATACAAATTTATGAAAACTCAGAAAGCGTCCCGCGTGCCGTCCAAGATGTTCTTAGGAATACTAAGACATATTTAGCACTTTGCAATTTTATTCATAGTACTGTAAAAGAAATATGAAATATGGTATTCCTGTTTTTATAAATACTGGACTGATAAATCTATATGGATTGAAACTTATAAAGAAAACTTTGCTTTGGCCTTTATGGTTTTTGAAAATATGAAGAATTAAACAAAATAAGACGGCCTTTATGGATTTTGAAGATATGGAAAGAAAAATAAGACTTGGTTTCGGCCTTTACACTCAAAATTCTATATATTCAAATTAAAAAAGACAAGGCTGTTTGGCTTAGTTCCTTTGCCTGCTCTCTCGAGCGAATAATAAAAACAACAACAACAATCTTTGTCGTCGATGGATGGTAATTCGCGGTAATTTGAAATAGGTAATTTAAAAAGACTAATAGCCGTCTGAAAAATACCTGACACTATTATTTTTTTATAATGTTGAGCAAAACTCTGTCGCCGGTCAGAAGTACTCAGATCACCTATAATCTTTCTATGGAGTTTCGAACTTGGTAGCCGGCGGATTGTTGCTTCTGCATTATCATAAAATAATTGTTGGAAGTGAATTATGGTATGCATATTTACTTGATAGGGTTAAAAATTGTTATTACATGTGAACTGTAAGCGGAATCGTTTTACATTAGTTACGATGGTAAGTTTTTTTCGTTTTGGCTGCTTGAGGTAAGTATAATATAATGTACTTCAGACCGAATTTCGGTTACGGCGGTCAGTTTAGCAGAGAATAGCTACATGCGCAGAACAGGATTATAGTACTCAATTGTATGCGCGTGTAAAAGTTGACTATTTCTTGATTCTCATGGTCCGATAGGACCCACGGCTACGTGCTTTTCGAGGCACTGGGGGACGTCAAAATCTCCCAAATACTTCGTAATGTGAGGCATCACCATATTGTGAAGAATTTTGTAAATAAAATACACATCAGGCTTGCCTGTATTATCTAAGTACTTTGTTTCTTTAATTGGCAAATCTAACATTAACTACTCATGCTTACTGCTAGTAAAACACAGTGATAGTACACCTTTTAGACATAGTGCGTTGGGTATAAACACTTTATTATAACACAAAAAACAGTACACTGCATATTATATTACTTTTTGTTTAATGAATACCAGATACCAGACTAAGTACTACATGAAGTATTGATTGTCCCCCCACCCCACCTACCAGGGGTAATTTAATTGTCATTATAAGATGATGATTATTTTATAAACATCATGTTTATTTGCTTCTTTATTGTGTAAAATGTAAATGCCATTTTGTCTAGTAGAATTTTCTCAATCAGATTTTATTGACTTTATCTTTACAGCATTATTAGGTATTGTTGTATATTTTAGGTAAAGTAAATCAAAATTGTTGATGTCATTTTTTAGTTACAAATATGTGCATAAGTTAAAATGTGTTCCATGTTGTCAAGTACTCTGTTGGTTTTAGATTGTTCTATACCTAATGGCTGTTAATCAGTTCGCTACACTATGAACAAAAATGAATGTAGTGGTTTGACAACATACTTGTCTTGAGTAAAAAAAATAACAAAGACATAATTTTTAAGTTCATTTTATTTTTAATAACATAAAAATGTTATGTTTTTCTCATTTTACACATTATGAAATGAATTTCAGTGGGTATGAATCAGATTACTAAAATGTTCACATAAGGTTCAAGAGTTTTAACTACAGTACAGTTTGGCTTTGTATGAACTCCTTATTTAGAATTTCTGTTTTCACTTATTTCCAAATGCTGTATTTTACATTTGTATGAGCAAAAATCTACTATACTCCATAGCAGTTTTCATTATAATATTCAACAAAATATATTGTAATAATTTACTTGTATGAATGGATTATACAATTTGATTTTTGTATTTTGTTTTGTGATATGCAAAACATTTTTATTGATATTTTCCATTTTTATACAAACAAAATACATAGTTTACCTTAAAAAGGTAAAATTGTAAAAAATTACTATTTGGTCTCACAAAAATCTATATGATAATCCATCCAACAGCAATATTCACTACAATAAATAGAACTAGCTAACTGGAATTGAAGGTCCCTTAAAAGTATGTAATTTTAATTTTATGTTAAAAACTGTGATCAACTAATCTCATTTTCTTTTGCTTAGCAGACTTTAACAATGTTCATTTGTAATGTTAAACGTTCCATCCAACTTGAGAATTGACCACAGCTTTTTATAACACTAATTTTATTGTTTTTGTAATAGTCCACTAACTCTAGAGAGGCGTCCATATTCATAGCATGAAGATAAGATGTACAAAATGATCAATTTTACACAAGAAGTAAAGATTTGACAGTTTACATATAAACTTTAATAGATAATGAATAAACTGTTTTTTAAACTTTTCAACAGTAAGTCACTGTAAATTTTACATTATGTAAAAGGAATTATGATTTGTGATTGACAGGTTTATCGGGAACTTAATTCCATTTAGAGATTTCCAAAGTCAGACAAACTTTTGCTGCATCTCATTAATAATTAGACAAATTAGTTGTGTATTTTTAATTTAAATTTTGAGTAGACAATACAATACAATTTAATCAAACATTTGAAAATATGTGAAACTATTCTTCATAAATTTAATGCTCATCATGGTTTCTATGATTTTTTTTTAAATTGGGAAACTTCCACAAATTAAATGGCAAAGTTAAGAACATTCCGTATAATAGATATATAATATATATGTATTATTGCTTATCATTTTTTTAAATAAAGGGCAGCAGTTTAATAAATAATGTGATGTAAGGTGAGCCCTAGACAGTAATGATGCATGACATGCCTTCTGTGGTATTGAGCATGCACAATTGTTTACTTGTATTGATATTGCACACTACACATTTGATATGCAAACTAGGTACTGGCATTGATTGACCATTCATTTCATTTTTTCATTAGGCAAACTTCTATTGACACATCATGATAATTTTTGTTTGGCAAGTTGCAATGAGATTGTCTTTTTTGCACCAAAGAGTCGCAGGGGTTCTCCCTATCCCAAGGGGACGCTTCATGCAAGCATATGAGATTAACATTCTCAAAACGAAAAGAAAATTGTGTTATTAAGTTTAATGTATAAAGATTCTCTCTTCTAACTGTTGTACCCAAAAAAAATCATAGACAGACAAAAACAGAAGAAACGATGTTTTTATTTTTCCAAAAAATTATGGTTAGTAAAAGAATAAATAAGTCTGCCGTTCACATTGTCACACAAGATTTTGGGGAAACAATTATCTCAACATTGCAGAGTCCTGTTCACTGTAATACAGGCTGCCTTGAAATGTAATAGAATGATTAATGGCATAGCTTGTGGGTCTGTCATGCAGCATGATCATTTACATTACTTATGCATGTTATACTGCATTACCTTCTAGGGTCCACTTAATAAATTGAGATGAGCATAGATAAGCGATATATTTTATCTGTGAATGATGGAGCAATGTTTGTGTGTTTTGGCACGTAAAAGTGACATTTCATAAATATGTAAATAAAAGCATTTATTACTCTGAAATTAGGAAAATTGTCAACTTACAGTAATAAAGTTACACTGTTTTTTCCATACACATTTAGTTAAACACGTTAAATTTTTTTGAAAGAAAGGAGTAGGTAGGTATCATTGTATATATGTATTCCATATTTTTTTTTAAACAAAGAAGGAAGTTAAAGGCAGAATATGAACATTGTTGAAAAAGTTGACATGCACCATGTAACAAAAATTAATTTGTCTACAGTTAAATTAAAATTATAAATGAACATTTTAGATAGAATGCAAACATTAAAAAATATAAACTGATACAATTAACAATATACTTGATAGTTTTAGTAGTTTTCAACTTTATATAGAATTTAGAATATATTCCTTCAAATTGCCACTTTTGCGCACCTGAACACATGCATATTGTTTATTGGTATTTGTATGTACATGTAAAACCATGTGTAGACTTTTAATTTAGTAATACTACACTAAAACTGGCCGTCATATAAGTATCTGCCATGTTCTAAATACAACTAGGTAATATAATATTCTTAACTAGACTCATATTTACAAATAATACAGTTCATTACTCTTTATATAGAAATTAAAATATATTTCTATCATTCTTCGATTCACATAACGCAAAATAATTTAACAGAGTTCATTTTTGCACTCACATTTACAATATATTTTCGTAACTAGTTTGTTACTGTTTATTTCTTGATTTGAAATAACTCATTTAGAATATATCACCCAATAAGCGAGTAGCGCTATACTCACGAATCTTATTGTATCTTACTTATTTAAAAATGCAGAATATGTGATAACGTCAAGGAATATGTTACAATGAACGGCAATTGAACATTATAGTCCGCTCGCATCAAATAGGAACTATAAGATTCATAATGCCTGTGCAAGCATGGCCAGGGTTATTCTATATGTACATCCCGCGACCACGCTCGCTAGCACTACCAAACAACTAGCACAAATAAAAATCTTTATTTACAACCTGGACGACTATTAACAAAGAAAGGACACAAAAAGAACTCTAATTGATTATACGTATTTTATCAAATTTATTAAGAAGTTGAATTAATATTTATTGTAAATTTGTGTTACTGTTTATGCTAGAGTTTAGAATATAATAGGGAGCTGAGTGGCGCCACCGTAGCGGCGGTGCGAGGAACTATACATGCACAACACCGCAGTGTATGGCCAGCGCGGCGCTCGCCTCGCCTTAATACTTTACCTATACATAACCTATATAATGTAATCCGGCACCGTTGTTGCGACAAGCGATGCCCCGTTTGTGACGACGTTCAACGTTGCAGTGTCCAATCTTTTAGCATGGCCTTAGCAGGTTACAGAGATTCACACTGTTTCTGTGACTGCAATGTTCAACGCCCTAACAATTGGAGAAGGAACTAAAATCTAGTATCACAATATCGGGCTTCACTAGCTCGAACAGTTATGTTAACGCCGCACTACGTGCACAAACTAACGAACATCGGAACTTGTAACGTAATAAGTAACGTCTCCGTCGTGTTAGTAACTTCCTATAATACTCATTGAGTGTAAAAGTACCGTTACAGAGATCTATGGATAAGTTCACTTTTCGTAGTAGTGAGAAGTCCTTATTGACTAAAGGTCTTCAGTTCACTTAGTTCGGGTCTCCAGACAGGAGTGACAAGGCTCACTCGAATAGTGCTAGTAGATCGTCTGAAGATGGAGCTCTTGGAGGATGCGAACCCGCTGACGAGGAGGAAGATGGCGGTGTTGCGAGTAACTCGCCTAGTGCAGGTGCATCGAGGTATGACAGCAGCTCCATGGGGTCCACATTTGTTTCAGGAAGCAACTGCAAAAAAAATTTATGTTCGTTATTTATTAATTGGCAACAACTTTCGTTCGTAATCTCTTGATACTCTCTATATTTTTGTATTTGGTACATAAAACTTTGACAAGGAGAGGACCGGACTTCGTGAATATTGGTTTTCGTGAAGATTGGACCAAACACTTTTCATCTTTATGTAAAAAAAAATCATGTTTAACTATTTCAAACCAAAAATAATCTTGCAACACTGGTGTGTGGGAAAATCTAATGATAGAAAAAATATTGAGTAAAAGGCACAATTCTTTATAAAGTAGTCATTGTTATTTATCACATTTTAATTAACTTAGAATGACATCTGTTATTTTTACGCATCACATACTAATAATGTAATAAAAGATTGATATAAAATTGAAAATATAGGTAGCACAACTTAAAGAAATCCCTTAAAAACACGTTTAAGTTGTGTTATGCTGTTAGCATTATTAAATTAAAGATAAAACTTAGCAAACTTCATGTCTGTATTTAAAACACACATGAACATTATTTTTTTAGTATCCTTGTGTAATTTAATTTTCTAAGTTAGTTTTCTTGTTTGTAGACGGCGCTTACGTTGAGATTGTCGGTGCCTTCGCCGTCGATGACAGCGGCGGGGTCGAAGTTTAGGTCCGCGGGTATGTCGACTTCGTTTAGCGGATGTCCAACGGAAGGTGGGCCCGGCGTGTGACTGGAGCCCGGCGTGTGAGCACCGCCACCGCCTGGCGTGTGCGCGGAGCCCGGCGTGTGCGGCGTGTGCGGAGTATGCGGCATCTGCTGGTGCATGAGTACATTAGTTTTGTTTCTTGACGACTTAAGGTAGCACGGTCTTGGCCACAACAGTTGACAGTTAAGATTAAGTTTTTTTTTTTGGAAAAATTTATTTATTCGTGTGATTTAAATGCGTAAGAGGCTATTCATTGGCTACCGAATAACAAAAATGGCTGCACCTTGGGAAACGAGAATGCTGCTGGCCTCAACCTTATCTGACAGATCTATAAATATTTGTTTGTTGCGGAAAGCATAAGACTCTAAGTTCCCAATTGTATGTGTACTCTACACACGTCTTTTAAGCGAAGCGATATTTGTGTGTAAATTTGTCATGTGATTGCTTGAGCTATACAAAAAAACAAGGCAACTGCAAATATAATTGCGTTGCTTTTTTTCTCCTAAATATATACAATCCGATTTTTTTATACAGCTACATGATACTTAGCCCTTCGTAACTCGAATTCACTTTTTTTCATCCATAGCAATGCTTATTGAGATTATACCGAAAAGGTTGTCGCGTAGTAATAGTAGTAGTAGTAGTAGTAACTCAATATAAGGATAATATCAATTAGGGATGGGCCGAATATGGATTTCACCGAATACGAACATTCGGCCGAACGTTCGGTAAAATTTTTACCGAACCGAATATTCGGCCGAACATTATTCGGCAGGATTACCCCGGTACCTAACCAATTTATGTCCAAACTTGTTACCGCACGGGATCACCGCCAGAGCCTTCCCCTTGCTCCCCCGCCACACCTGACATGTTATTGCATCATCTAGTACTGAGCAAATTGCTGGCACATGCTTATGTTTTGACTATTTTTGTGAGAAAAAAAGTATTCTTAGTGAAATTGATAAGTATGTGATGAAAATGAGTGGCATGAGATTTATTATTTGGACCAATTTTAGAAAAACTGACGACTATAATGTAATGTTTCTTTAATTGATTCCAAACAAAATTTTATCAAGCTTTCTATTTGCTATAATTGGAAACAAATCTACAGGGCCTCAAAAACATAACTATACAAGTAGATTTAACACATAAATAAATATACTTTCAACAGTAAAATGATGAAAGACATGGCATTACTCAATTCGTACATTTCCATACAGTGGATACTTTGAGTACCACTGTAACGAATATTCGGTGGTTTAGCCTAATATTCGGCCGAATACGAATATTCGGAAACCTGCCGAATACCGAATATAAAACAAATATTCGGCCCATCTCTAATATCAATAGACGCTTGATCGCTGCGTTGATCACTTCATGGAGTAGCTATATCAGGAAATGGTCTGGTGTTTCACGATATAGCCAATTAGAGCTTTCACGACTTTTTCGGCCACTAGGGTGGCGCCATTTTTGAATAAGGTTAAATATTTGACAGTCCTCAGCGGTGGATAACCTTAATATTTTACGATATTATTATTTATGTTTGGCCTCATCTTAAAGTTTGTTTTGCCAGTTTTAAGCCGTGAGTTTTGGTTTGCCTTATTGTCAAACAATCTCTATTCATTGATCGGTCCTAAGCATATCAAGATTCATGATGCATACAATAGGCAGTGTGGTTTTCCATGACATGGTTGCGTTTCATCAAACATGGTTCATCATGATGGTTAATTTAACGATCCACGACATATCCACAATCTATCTATTGATAAGTTAAAATATAATTTGAACGCGGCATATTATATTATATCGGCATGATTGAGCTTTGCATTATGTAAATGTGTATTCCTCAATTATTTTAGTAAATATAAGTAAAATCAGTGTAGCAAAACAATAAATAAACGTTGGACAATATGTAATATAGTTATTAAATACAGTGTTCAAAAATATATTCCTTTTCCTAATAAACTATGCGTTTCCACTTAAGAATAAGATCCATCCTAGTTTTTATTAATTATTTTAACATACCTGTTCGTTCAAACTCTTCTCCATCGCGTTAAGTGGATCTAAGGAATTGACGCTGTCGTTTAAATGCGTAAGAGGTCCATTGCCAGCGTACTCATTACTTCCAGGGCCATTGTTCATACTAAAGTCATAATTCGGGTTATTTGCGTTTGAGTTTCTATTCTGTGTACTTTGGTTGTAAGAAGAGATCATAGAACCGCTCGCAATTGTGTTCATGTCTGGAGGCAAATAAGGCGATAGCGCCTGATCCCAATTGTTCATGGTAGGCATGTTCATTGACCCAGGAGAGACCGCTTTGCTCCTCTTCCCTAAACTGTTGTCATTGCTGTCATCTTCTTGCTGAAAATTTAATAAGCTTATTGATTATATGATATTAGAAAATATTTACCTAGTAAAGTTTAAGCTTCTACTTGGCATCTGTCAACATGCAATAATTTTGCTAATTCAATTCGAAAGAATGAAATTATAAAATCAGTTACCTTAATTCCTGGGTTTGCGGGATTCTTAGCAGCTTTCCAATTTGCCCCGCTGTCAATAGTAACCTCATCAACATCAGAACTGTTGAGCGTGTTGAGGATACCCCACATATACTGATCGACTTCCAGGCCTTCTAATTGAGCTGGTTTACTGGAATATCAATTTTGGTTTAATTATTTTGAACAAATATGCTTAATACAATTTGGGCTTAGGTAAACGTATTTATCCTGCAGCTATTTACGTATCTAAGAGAAGATAATTTAAATTTCTTTTGTGATTATAATGATTAGTTACAGACTACGGTAAGTAGTTCAGATGATGTAAGTAATTTTTAATACTAAAATAGTTTAATATGTTTGTAGTGTTGTATTTTAGAATATTTAAGTGTATTCGCGTCAAATTAGTTAATATTCCACTCACTTGCACACTGGACACCTCCATGACCCTCGTTCACAATTGAGTTGTAAATATGATTCTAAATCAAAGCACTGTATGTGTTTGCATTCATGTCCACGCGCCGGTAATGTGATTTTCTTGAAGGTGATTGGACATTTTAATGACACTTTTAGAGCTGTTTGCTCTACGTTATCCCTGTCATTGCCGGTGTTAGAACCGTTGTTGTTAACTGGAGTTTGGTTGAAGTTCATCTTGATCTTGGCGATACAGTGGTCAGCTGTTAGCAGTCGCTTCCTCAGCAACCCTTGTAGAACACTGCGTACGCTCGGCCGGTGGACTAATTGTAATACGAACAGATGCGACTGGAAGTTGAAACATTACATATTTACTTACTTCAACTATTTGCTTCTTAAAAGTGTGAAGGCATACTAAAATAATATATAGACAAAAGGTTTTAAAAAATTACATAATATACTTACACAACAGCACGCGGATACTGTAATCTGTATCGTGTTCCTGCCAGGCTGGCACACTTCTTTCAGGTACAATGGTTTGTGTGACGTTTTGTTCTCGCCTCTATCTATGACTAATGGTGTTGCGTTGACCGACACCTGAACACTCGCTGGCCAATTCGTATTCATTTGCCGATCCTCGTGGTGGAAGCATTTAAGTTGTAATTCTAGGTCCGATCTAAATGGTACAAAGATTAAATTAGTTAAGTCAAATTATCTAGAATAGTTACTTACAATAGAAAATACAGTTTTTCACCAAGTGTTTAAAACATTTACCTCCAAATTAACGTTGAGTGAACCGTCGGTTTTAATTGGAATACATGGTTGCTAACTGCTAAATTATGCTCTAACCTAAATGGTGGTAAAATAATACCATCTCTTACAGGGAATGTTAACCGGAGCTCGTCATCTGAAATTAAAAAAAATAGTTTTATGTTATTATATTTAAGTCAGCCTTAGATTTTCAAATTAAATTATAAATAGTAAACTTACTCTGCATGCCCATCGGTGGTTTGAGCTCGTTAAAGTGGGGTTTTACATCAGCATTAGGGCTGATATAAGGTGGCATACTGCTTGCTGGCGTCAACGGCGGAGTTGGGTTTCCGGGCACTGGACTGTGCTGGTAAGTCATGCTTGTTCGCATTGCAACTTCTTGCGCAAACTGCCCGCTATATTGCCCTCCGTATTGTGTATTTCCAGCTTGATGCTGAGGAAACTGGTTGGGCACGCCACCATTGAAGTACTGCCCTTGGTTGGAATAAGGAGGTGTCGATTGCCGCATACTTCCTCTCATAGCTGCTCCAAAGTTCCCAGTCGGGCCTAACGGCTGCTGAGGCGGATACTGTGATTGAAAACCAGGTCTTCCCCCATATCCAGTAGGGTATTGTGCAGGCCCAAAGCCCGGTTGGCCACCCATGTACTGAGGCTTTCGTTGTCCCATAAGCATCGTCCCTGATGGATACGGTGCGTGGCGCCTTTGGTACGCTGGGCCCATTTTCGCTGAACTGCCCATTTGTCCGGGTCCCATCTGTGAAGACATCATATTTGCGTGCATGCCCATATTGGCCATTTGTGCCATTGGATTCATACCATTCATGGCAGCGTTTCCCATCTGATTAATGCCAGTCATTCCGTTCATCCCGCCGTTTCCTCCCATGCCCATACCAGTCATGGCAGGGTTATGGCTGCGCTGCTGACCGTAGCCGTTCATCCCGCCATACTGTGGATTTCCCATAGTCATGTTGTTTTGCATCTGCAAGTAAGAGCAAGCCATTAAAGATTTGAATTATCAGTTGCGAACAAGGAATAGTGTTGTAGATAGTTGGGATAGAATGTTTAATCTAGAAAACAATAATGATTTACTTCCTTTCGGTAATTTTTTTAAAGAATATTAAAAATGCTATAAATATTACTAATATTCCCCTTAACCACATGTGGTAAGCTTAATTTGCTTGTGTTACGAGTGGTCCACGCCAGTAGTCGGATGGCGGATTCCAACCCACCTTTTTGAGATCGCGATCAGCGCCCTGCCATTAGGCTACTGTCACTTCAACACAAATCAACAAATCAGACTTCAGTTTTAAGTAAGGTTCTATAGAAAGAATAGACAGGAGAATTTTAATGCTGATAATTGCATACCTGCGAGAAGGACTGCGAGTCCTGCATCGCGGCCGTGGTGGCCGCGGCAACCATCGCGGCGGTGGCGCCGAACTGCGCGTTCTCGCCCCCGCCGCTCATCGCGCCCGAACCGCCCGTGCACCCATAGCCGCTGTACACCAAACAAATTATATCAATTATCTTACTCTTCTTGATTAACGTCCTCCAGACCGAATTTCGGCCACGGCGGCCTACCTCAACGGAGGCTAGCCAACGGCACAGAACAGGATTATAGTGCTCAAGTGTATGCGCAAGCACAGGTGCACTCTCTATTCCCTCACTCTCATAATCCGATGGGACGGTAAACCGACACGACCGGAGAGAGATCAGGCGCGGGACCAACGGCTTTACGTGCTTTCCCAGCCACGGGGGTGAGACACCGCCAACTTCCTGACTCCGAGCAACTACTGAGAATTTATTGACGGAAAAACTCAATAATTAATTTTTTGGCCCGACCCGGGATTCCTCATGATCAGCAGTCGCACTACTACAACCACTAGACCAACGAGGCAGATAAACATTAAATATAAACATAGTTCCTTTAATACGCATAAATTATGGATGATTTCCTTTAAAAGTACATTTTTATATATTGGTATAGGTATTAAAATATGAAATCAATCCGGTAATTTTATTTATTTTGCGATACGAGTAGTTTCTATTCTATTGCAAGCGGCCTTGCAGAGTCGAACATTTTACATTCCACACGTTAACGCTTCGATTATTAATAAACACGGACTCAATATTCAACCCAAATTCTATTGACGCAAGATCTTTTTTTAATACGTTCAGTGATTTTATTATTTTGACGAACAATGAGAGAAAAAATCAATATGGACGTGTAGTGAGTGACGCGTTGTTACCCCTGTGTTTCTCTCGGGATGTGTTTGATTTTTTGTATGGCATAGGAGTGGGAGAACGATTCATGTGAACTGCTTTTGGGGCCAATTCCCGAGCCTTCTCGGAGCCCTTCCTAATAATTCCCATTCGACAAATACCCGACAAACACTCGCACGGGCTGCCTATTGTTACGCGCGCTTCTGTAGTAGTGCAACAATATTGAACGTGCGAAATCGCAGAGTACAAGTAATGAATATTGAATACATAGATTTAAAATTTGGCTAAATTATAAACATTTATATTAAAACATAAACAACTTATTATTATTATTAGAAGATTTTAATTCACAGAACGTAAATTCGAATTTTGCAAGTTACCTAACAATTTTTATGTATCACTAATTTTGTTATGATTCCACTTTCTAATTGATCGTTTGTATGCTTTACACAAATCACACCCAAGTATCGCCATAAATAGTTTAACAGATACTTAGTAGAGTCGAAAACCAATAAACACGCAAGTCAACAGCGCTCAAGTCGACGTGTCTATTCATCGACCGTGCAGATGATTTACAAGGGTCCTTCCTTAGGTAAACTTCGTCCGACCTGCACTTCTTTTTATAGTTTTGTCTGAACCTTTTTCTTTTGCCGGCCAAAATGTGTAGCCGACAAAAAATCCTTGTATTCTGTATCCTGGTGCACTTTTTGTAAAAGTTGTACCACATCCGAATAATCACTTACGGCTCGCTCAAAATATTTGGGTTCTTGAATGCGAGCGGTTTGTCGAGGCATCTCTTTGAGATAGTTCTTGGAACGTTCTTTTTGTAACCTTCATTTCTCGGCACAAATGTATGCTTATTAGACGTCACAGTTGACATTACCACTGTGTTCTGCAATTGTTCTATTTTGTATGTTTACAGATAAAAGTAAGTTAGGGGAAATAATAAATGAAGATCAATACAAAAAAAAGGTTTTATGTGAATATAAATCAAAACCGCACGTTTTCTGATATGCGAGATGGCTGAATAAATTAATATGAATGAGTATGTTGCTATTTTGAGAAGCTGGAAGGTGTTTGGCATACTATTGAAAGATAAACGAGGGAAACGCGTAGGAATTTTGATACATAGGCTGTGGTTAATTTTAGATTGTTCATCGGACTCGTCGAGTTCTTAGCTAATTGTTGGTGAAGATACGTTATTATCGAATTCTCTTTTAAAATAAATTATAGGACTCGAGTTCCAATTAGTAAATAACAAACGCAAGTTAAGTTTTTAACATCAAATTATGGTCCTTATTGAGCGACAAAGGTATTATCGGACGAATTTCAGAGGATCAATTCGTAAAGACATATTATGTACAAGACACTGCGCGCGAAGGAATGCACTGCTGAGAAATACTGTTTAACATTTTTTTCACAATTAAAAACTTAAATACACATAGATTTTGTTTCGGCTCAACGAAATATAATTAATCAAATGCCTGGAATGCTTTAAATTTTTCTTGTTAATAAATAAATTTCAGTATCATTAAACACCTGTAGTAATCTACAATTTAGTTTTTAATAAAACAGTGTTAAATAAGGCATTAATTAAGCCTTGTATAGATTACTATCGAGGTAGCTTGAAGCCGTGACGCGTACCACCCCTGTGTTCCGACGACAGTTGGTCACCCCCTATTTAAATACCACTTCACATTGTGGCCTGTGTGCACATTTGTATACTATATAATAGAATTAAAGGATGTTATTGGTCTGATGTTATAGTTTTGTAATAGTTGTACAAATTAATAATAACAAAGTGACTTTCAATAAATATATTGCATTTGATAATTAGACTGCAATGCGATGAAAGTTTATTACAGTATGATTTTTATTTAATTTTTAGTTTTTAAATACCTACAAATTTCATCTTTTCGCGAATTTTATCTCTTACTCGTCAAGTGATGTTAGAGGTCGGGAGAGAATGAATCATGCTTCAAGGAGCGAATTCCGGGGGTTACAACGAAGGCGAGCGTTCTAGGGTGGATACGATACAATGAACGGGAAGGGTCGCCTCACCCGACTCGCAAGCTTAGGGTAAGTGGGCCCGCTCCCGTCAATATGGGGCTTTATTACGAAGCTTCTGATAATAATTTGTTTCCGTATGACCAAAATGAAACGAACTTTTAAGGGTAATTTTTAAATTTTTTAAACAATCGTAAACATCATTTTGATTCACTTACTTAATGTGCGACAGTTCGCTTATTATTGTTCAGTTACTAGGTTGCTGAGCTTCACGCGGCCTTAAAAAATATCTTAATACAAAATTTCATCAAAATCGCGTCCTTTCAGTAAAATCAATTACACACTACATATTATATAAATGCAAAAAACTCTCTTAAAGTATAAATAATAAATAACGTGTACAGTGAAATGGTTTAAGTAAATTCGTTCAACTCTATTGAGCACGTGGTATAAATATGATTGTGTCAGTGCATCCGCCCCCGGTCGCTTTGCCCGTTGAAAACAGAATTTTTTTCCCACGACTAACAAACTTCTACAAATCTGTTATTATTAAGAAATTTAGCGTGCGTATAAGTGCGTATTTGTTCAGGGCGGGTAAAATATACAGGCTATTGTTTTTATTTCAAGGATTTGTTTTAGGCAACTGTTTATATTAATTGTGTACCCGCCGGCACCCTTGATGTGAAGCAGACTTCCTGCACTCTGTTCACACAATCACGCTTCGAGTCCCCGTTTTATTATTATTTACTTATTGGTTTTGAATAAAAGGCGCGCAGCCATCAACAATATGTCGTTTGTAAAGGTGACTACGAAACAAAGCCGTTGAACGCCTCAGCTTAGCACCTGCTCATTTTTTAGTTATTTACTGTTTTTAACTAATTATTATTATTGGAGACTGTGGACTGTATCGATATTTATGATGTTCGTTTACTTATTTTGGATTGTAATTAAAATTATCCTAGCAGAAAAATGACTAAATGAGGCTTTAATTATTTGATGCGCTCATTGTGTTAATAATTTGTTTGTGTTTATTGAAAGAGCTAAAGTGCAGTCACCGCTTGCATTCCCATCGTACGTTAATGTGAGTGAGTAGAGCTGTGTGCGTTAAACTTGTGTTGGTGTGAGTGTGATGGACATTAGTGTGTGTGACAGGCGCCGAAAGCGTTTGTGCGTGTGAATGGAGGAACACATTTCATTTCTTTCATTATAATTGCAGTGATGCGCGCGGTTGGCAATGTGAGTTACTCGTGTACTTTTAAGTAACCATTTGATTATGGGGGATTTCCGTACCGTACAATTTATGCTTACGTGCACACACAAATATTACTTATTTTAAGCAGTAATGTAAATTACACTGTTATGCTTATGTGGTAGCAAATGAGTTATATTTATAGAGTGTATTTGATTTTATTGCCTGTTAACAACGATAAGGTGGGCACAGGTACGCAAGGCACGTTTTAGCGTTTTGTTGAAATGTAAACAAACTTGTTCCGGATAAGATAAAAACAGTGAGTGCCTTTTAATAGGCGGGACGTTTCGTTGACAAATAGGTACCTATTTACTTGTTGCGAGGAAAAATATTCGTAGATTATATTTCAATTAATTAAATGGATAATACGTACGTAATTTAATGTTTTTAAATAATACCGAATTGTTGGATATCGTGTTATTGTACAGACAGAAAAGTTATTAGATTAAATTTAAAGAAAGTTGATCAGTATCTTTTGGATTCGTTATTTAAATAATCATTTTTTACTCTGGATTTAAATCTATGATTATTTTTCAGATTTATTTATTTCATTTGTATATTTATGTAGTAACTTACCTATGTGGATTAACTCTGTATCCAATGGTCCCTTGCAGAGGGTTGTGCTTGCCAGTATCGGGAGCTTGTGCTCCCGCGTATGTGATATTGTTCCCCGCGTACCCAGCCGTATTAGCAGAGTTAGCCGTCCTGTCGATTCAAATGCACCCCCTGAAACACCACGTAGCCTGTTGTAAGTCTCGAAAGTTTTTCTCTTACATTCGACATACTTTTCCAAGTGTCAATAATAGTTTTCAATTCGCGTCAGTTGCGCGCGAGTTATTCGATTTTTTTGTTATAATTTAACTGACGTTTACGCTCGCAACATCGTTGAGAACGTCAACAATCAACGAAACGTTTATCGTGGCGACTTCCAGGACATAATTCACAATTTTCTAGTAATATGAATTATATTAAATTTAATATCAAGATTTTTATATATTCTTGTCACTAAATAATTCACTTAAGACGATTTATCACTTTTCGCCAAATTTAATAGGTTAAAAACAACCATTAAAAATAATTTTCCCCATATTTTACACTACAAAATTTTTTTGGAACGAAAATTTTCCAACTACGATGAACGTTTCGTCCATGTATCGTTTCTTCGATCAGCTGTGACGAAAAAAAATAACTTCTACCATCATGTTATTCCGAATATTTTTTAATTGATCGTGAATAATTTTACTTTTTGAAGTGATGCAAGTAACTTCCTTTTCATATATGTTATAGTAAGTTGTAGAAATATTTTTATTTAAACACACCTTAAATGGTTTGTCTTTAAAATTCACTTTTATATCACTCTTTCCACTTTTTCAAACAGACACATTGAAATAATGAAATCCAAAAATATTGTTCAAAATCCAAATTTTATCACTAGGCAATCCTTATTTGGTGGGCCACTGCATTTTAGGTTCTAAAATTCAAATTGTCACTTAGCACAGTTCATAAGTGTTCAAATCCCATGTATAATTAGTGCACTGTGTTCCAGCATTTGATAATAAATTTATTATTATCGTTCACTCACGAGTACGATTTTGTATTTACCGAAACATCATAGACGTGCAGTGCGAGCGCCGACGCCGACGTCACTGACATCAAGCAACCACACGTTCGACCGTCAAAGGTAACACTGGCTGGCGAGCCGGCAACGGTGAGTGAGAGGTTGCGCCGCGGGGCGCTCCCACCCCGCGCGATGTTGCCAGCTCGCCGCGATAAAGTGGCGCACCCCCGCGCTCCCCGCTTTATGTCGTCGCTGTCGTCTCGGTACTCGGCATTCGGCCGCGCTCGGGCGCCACAGTCGTTATTGCTCCTGCCCCGCCCCGCGCACTCGACTTTTCACGTAACGGTCCTCAATCGAGCGCTTTACTTAAAGTACGATAGTCCGAGTGGATAGCCGTGTCATCTAGGACCGTTTCGATTAATTTAATCGTTTAATGTCGACATTATTCGCTTCCAACAATATTTTCGTATGATCAGAAAACTGCAATAGATAATAAAAACATGCGGGACTTATTCCCAGGTAGATGATATTTTATTAAATTTTTTGCTGTATACGCACGGGTGGCAGCCGCGGTCGGCATTCGGCAAGCGTCTGTCTGCGTTCGGGCATAATAATTAACAGCGAACAGCGATAAACAATGGACATGTCGTCCTCTGCCTCTGGTCGCTACCTGCGCATGACGACAGAGGACGAGTGACTCGTCCAGCGACGTCCTCGCTAGGCCTTGCCACCGTTTTGCAGACTTCTTGAAAAATTCTTGATAAGTAACGTTGTAGTTTAGTAAAAAAAAAATGGAAATAGTAACTTGTAAGTTCACAGCCATATTTTAAATGCGTCTTTAGTCATTACAGAAACAAGATAAATGAAACATTTTACGCTGGAAAATCACGTATTGTGTTAGTTTATAACTCAGTCGCTACGAGCTTAACTTAGGGTTAAATGGTAGTATTTTGATGGATGATATGAAAACGAATAATGTTGGGTATAACGTAAATTCTCATTCACTAATTCGTCTTAAATATAATATGTATGTAGCTTGCGACTGTAGATTGAATTGTTTTCTTATATCTAAATTAGTCTTTTCACGACGACAGGTATCGAGTTTATAATACTATATTTTGTTAGTCGGTTTGTGTCGGTCTGTCCGCTGGAAAGTCGGGAAAGCGGCAGCGCACGCGCAATCGCGCCTCGTCCGCGTTCCGATGTGTCGACACACTGTCACCGTATCAAATTAATATAATACGTTTATTTTTATTGTATATGAAAATGCATATTTCTTTGTTCATTTTCTGTGCGTAATTATAACATCCATGCGATTATGATATAACTTTGGTGCATTAATTGTGCGCCCGCGATGTTTTATGACGAATAAATTAATATTTGTTCGTCATTTATCCGATTACGATGGAATTTTGCAAAGGTTTCTGACAAAAATAAGCATTGCAACGCATAATAGGCACATTTTTTTGTACAAGGAATGTACACCTATAACAACTAGGGTAGTACTACTACTACTTATTCATTCATTGTAATTCATTTATTAGAAAAAGAAAAATTGCTATTTTTGTCCTCTGTAACGTAGATGCGTTATACAAATATTATTGTATAAGGACAAAACCCGGAACAATTATTTCCAGATTATAACGTTTATTAAGTGCTGGTTTAACCTACGAATTCGTAGCGCCGCTGCCGAATGCTTTAACTGCGCTACTGAGCTGTCAAACTTACTTGACAGCGGAATGAATAACCAGCTATAACTAAAATGTAAACCGAAGAACTACAGTTTTCAGTATAGCATGAAAATAAGAATTCTAATCTAAAAATTCTAAAATAACGTATGAAAAATGGTTAATATATCTTATCAGTTTAGCGTTTAAGCATGTCAAATTTAAGACCCAACTGCCGTACTCAAGAGTCGCTTAATCAACCAGTAACTACTTTTTATTTATAGATTTTAAAGAGATATAGATAAAAAGTTAATAATGGCGAAGTAAGCGATAGGTACTTACTATCAAATATAGTAACATTTCCACGGTCACCCTTGAAGTAAGATACGATACGGACTTCAGTGTTTTCAGCAATTGCAAGCCTACTTGCAAAATAATAATTATAAAATGATAATTAAAAAATAATAATTAAAAAATAACCTATCCTAGCTAGGTGCTAGGATAGGTTATTTTTTAATTATAGGATATGTTATTAAGTGGTAATATTGTTATATCATTTTAAAACGCAAGATTTTTATATTTACCTACATTTATTTCGTTAGGTCGAAATTAGACTATTAAATTGGTTAAAGCATATTGTGTGGAAAAATCATGTGTATATTTTCACTGTTATTTTTTCTGTTTTAATGATATACACTTATTTTTTATGCACTTCTATGGCACATTACCTTTACAAGATATGATTTTTATTCCCTCCTTTTATTATAATTACTTACTACGTGAACATCGAGAACTGGTGTACGGTTTTAAATACTCGTAAATTACTTAAAACCGTGCACCAGTTTTCGATGTTCACGTAGTAATAATGCAATGATATTCTACGTATTCAAAGCGGTGACAGTGACAGTTAAAACGTGTTCAGTCCGACTTCTTCCTGTAGTGCTGAAAATCTTATCACTTCAGATAATATTTATGACGTTGTATGGTTTATGATAATGAATTATCTACATAAAAGCACGTAGCGCCTACAGGTTTGTAATAATGTTATGTTTGTATAGATATACGAAGACCTTACGTGATGTTGATGACATTTCAACAAAAATAATGTAAGATAGATAAGCGCATATAAGCCAATTGCGTTTTACTGAAGATATCCGATTGACGTACTTATTTTTCACTAATTGACTATTTTTATATTTTATATGTAAAATTATTACGATTTCTTGCTATAATATAGTAAGTATACTATATATTTGGCAAGGAATTGTTTTGAAGTAAGATGTAGAGTCGAGTGATGGTAGCGTTAAAGAGTAATCAGAAACAGAAACTTTTTTTATTCGATATAGATTGTGAACAATACTGAAAGTCACTTTTTTCATTTATCACTGGTCGCAAAAAACACTTCTGTCCTGGGAAGAACCAGCAGGAAACCCAGCGGGAATCATAGTTCACATTGTTTTTTTTTATAAACTGAAATGACGAACGAATTTACAGTCCTCCTGATAGCAAATGGTCACTGTAGACGATGGAAAGATGCAAACAACTCAAAACAAGAAGACTACAAATGTTTTCTGACCTCTACTATTGGAATGCCTTACAGCCTGAAATTATTTTAATCATAAAGAATGAATATTTGCATTCAGCAGATATTTAGACCATTCACTAAATACGTTAAAAATGCACATATCACCGATACTGTTTACATAAATAATCTGTATTAAAGATTGATACTGAGTTGATAGGCCTCGACCTGGCTTACAAAGAAAGGTCCTGTACCTTTTTTATATAGGATAGGATGACAAAAGAGCACACAGTCCACCTGATGGTAAGTGGTTGCTGTGGTCCATAGACATCTACATCTATCCTCGATTACGAATCAAAATACAGATGCGTTGTCATCCGTGAGGACTGAGGTGGAATGCCTCGTTTCCAGTAAAAAGGGTCTCCGGTTCTCTACACTCACCATACGAAACACAGCAGCATTAAGCTACTCGTACTATTTGACGTTGGTATTCTGTGAGGGCGTGACAAAATAAAGCAGAACCAAAAAAAAAAAAATTTTAAAAAAAAAAAAAAAAAAAAAAAAAGTTTTAATATTTTATTTAACATAAACTGTATAAAAAGGGTTATTTTAATATAAATGAATGCATGTTTGATAACATCGTCGTTGGGTTTCTTGCTGTTTCTTCCTGGGACAGAGGTTTTTTCCGAACCAAAAAAATGACTTTAAATAAGAACAACTTGTAATCTATATCGAATAAAAATATTATAACCTGAACGTTTTACTAGATTGTCACTTCATGTAGTATCGATGAAGTACAGCAACTCTAGGACCATTCTTCCTCATCGGTTTTCGTTTTATAGAGCTAAATAGCCGGCCTACTATTACACTAGCTTAATGATTAGTTGGGCTTTACCGGCTATTCTACTGCAGATATCTATGTTGCGTATTTTATCATTGAGATAAGTTCCGACCTTGGCTATCTCATACATAGCTAGCTCGTTGAGAATTTTTAACCACTGAAATTTTTTAGGGTTTACTATTGCGAAAATAATATTAGTCATGACAAAGATCACAACGACCCATGATTGAGTCAATAGCTGCCAATAGTTACTAAAACCAGTGTATTGTTTCACTAGGAACATAACTGAATTTAATTTATTTCAGCGCTCTACAACGAAATAAAACCGTACAGTTGTGACACATTTTGATAATCTTTTCGAATTAAATTTCATATAACCTTACAATGTTAAATGTATATTATGCAGTTGTATAAACTAAAAAAAAGAAATAGGAGTAGTTTTTTATTATTATTATTATTTTGTTGCCGTATTTATAGTTTTATTTAGGGTTAGTTATAAAATAAGTTTATTTTATAAAAAATGTGTAACAAACGAGCACAAAGTTAGTAGATAATGTGGCCCATAGACATCTACACCTGTCTACCATTAAATATCAAAATGCAGATGCGTAGTCAGTAGTCACCCCTGAGGACTAAGATTGAATGCTTTTTTTCCAGTAATAAGGAACTTCGGTTCTCTAAACTCACGAAGCACGACATAAATTTTGCGATGGTAAGAGTGTGGTCCTTCCCTAGTAAAGCAGACCCATTCGTATTACAACCATAATATTCTTGCAGCGTGGTTTTACAACGTACGCGTGATTGTATACGCAACATGAATAAATATGACAAATTCAAAATTATTCTGATCATTTTGGATTTCGATATGTATTTTTTATATCGAGTATTTCTATAACGTTCTTTAGTATCGTGATCTTCCATGTGAGGGCCAGTAATAACAGTCTTTAGGTTAGCCAATCTTAGTTCTTATGGATCGACAATTCATTCGTATTTTGATTCTTAAACGTGGATAGATAAAAGTGTACTATAATAGATTAAAAGGCCACAGCATCAACTTGCCAGCGGGAGGCTGTGTGCTCATGCCACCCTTCGTCCTTTAAAAAAAATGTGTGATAATATGATTATCAATTTTCACTATAAAGGCAATAATAAACATAGTGAAAATCCTAAAAAAACGTTGATTTGAACATCAAAGATTTTTATTTTGTTGATTTAAACACTAGCTGTGCACGGATTGCATTGCAATGTCTCTTTTTCGTTGGTGCTTTCTCAACGAGCTGGCTACGCATCATAATCGGATGAAGAACATAGAAACGCATAGAAGACTATCAAACATACAAAAACAAAATTGTTGCAAACAGTTGCGTCTTGTTTAAACATGTGCAGCAGAGGTTAGCGTATTCATCCTTATTCTTACATCCCTGTTCTAGTTCTAGGCAAGGTGCGACACGGGGTTGTACACCTGTGTGATTTGTGTGGTATTTTGGAAAATAAAAATTAATTAAATGCTAAACATAGAATGACATTCGGTAATATTGTGGTATACACTCACAACAATCTTTAGATAAACATTTATTTCCGAGACCGAGAACTAATTATAGCGATTGGAAAATTAATATTTAGATAAGCTACTAGAAAGTACTTCACTATACTTTTCTAAAGTGTAATGATAAAGAATATTATAAACACAATAATTCCTTAAAAAATCAAATAAATGACGTAAAATACCTTCCCCTGGGAATGCCACAAAACACGGTACTGATCCACTTCCTGTATGTCTTAACAGGTCGTCACTCCATATAGTGTGGGCCCACCCTACACTTCATATACCGACACGAGTCTACTCCGAGAATCTTTCTTCCCATAGTGAATGAATCAACTGGTGAAAGTCAGTATGTTCTTTGAGCTATCTATAAGTTTATGCTAGGATTTGCAAAGACTACGTGTGAACGATTTTTAATGATACACAAACATAGTACTGACTAGTACGCGGCTCACAAGATGCTCAGAAGGATGTGTAATTGTTCAATAGATCATTGTGACCTCTCTTGAAGAGCAAGTTCGGTGGACTTCTGCTCCATGCCTCTGAGGTAGCGCTAACATAGAGGACGGAATGATTTCTTATATTTACGCGAACACTATACATTGATTAAAACTACTTTTGCGGATTTTATCGCGTTTTATTTATATTCATTTTAATACCCGACGTTTCGGGTGCTTTCCAGCACCCATGGTCACGGGGGACTGAGGTGACTGACGTCCCGATGTCAAAGTTAACCCGGAGTACCTTCAGCTTTTTAATTATTGTCTTTGGTCCGATCTACACAGAATGAACTAACTGTATTTTGAAGTCTTGCAGTGGTATGCTTGGGTTTAGCTTTAATTTTATTAATTATAGGATCTCAAGCAGGTGGTAGTACCCAGCCTCCTTCTCTATTGAAATTAGGATGTTTTTTAATTTCAATAGCCTCACGTATCATCCTTGGTAGGAATCGATGTTCTTTCGCGAGGATTTGTGGTCTATCAAATCTGATGTAATGGTTGGGGCCATCTAGAATATGATCGAAAACTGTAGACTTCCCGGAACGTTGATGCTTCATGAAGCCTTCACCTTCATGATTCCTACCAAGGATGATACGTGAGGCTATTGAAATTAAAAAACATCCTAATTTCAATAGAGAAGGAGGCTGGGTACACTACCACCTGCTTGGGATCCTATAATTAATAAAATTAAAACTAAACCCAAGCATACCACTGCAAGACTTCAAAATACAGTTAGTTCATTCTGCGTAGATCGGACCAAAGACAATAATTAAAAAGCTGAAGGTACTCCGGGTTAACTTTGACATCGGGACGTCAGTCACCTCAGTCCCCCGTGACCATGGGTGCTGGAAAGCACCCGAAACGTCGGGTATTAAAATTAATATAAATAAAACGCGATAAAATCCGTAAAAGTAGTTTTAATCAATATAGAGGACGGAATTTTATAGCTCGATGGACTGTGCTGTAATTCTATCCTCATCCGAGGTTTAGCCGTTTCTAAAGGGCTGGGGACCCATTTTGATCTCGCTTAGACTGCCGGCCCAGGATATCACTGGATTGAATCGAACGAGATTGCTCTCGCATCGTTACTCACCCTTGCGTGTGGCTCCAATGGAGACTTGACCTGTCCCTATAGACACCTCAAACTCTTAATTTTGTTAAAAATATTAGGTCGTGCAGAAATGACGATGGATTACAGCCCATCACAAGTCTACTGCTGAACATAGCCGTCCTTCGAGGAACGCCTCTAAACACGGTCAGGTCACCTGTATCTATTCACTTCCTGCATCAATCAGCACACTGATACGTTGAACTTCGTCGGTTACTTTGGTACTCTCTCACCTCATTAAGAAATCTATCACGCAGAGAAACTCCAGTTATAGCCCTTCACATAATTCGCTGAGTTTTGAGGTATCTTACGTGACGTAAAGGTGTGTCATAATCTCCATTCCGTCGATTAACCTTATGGGTCTATTTGCATTCTGAGATTTGGGTTACTCTGGGGTGACATTATTATAGTAACCCTTTTTATACAATTTTTTAATAAGTTTTTTTATCTTGGCGGAAGACAAATTTTGTATATTTTGTGGGATTTTGTTGTAAAAGCTTTGACATCGCCTCAAGTATAAATTACTGACTCTGCGGTGTCAAGTAGCTTGTATATGTTTTCAGTATTTACACAGTAAATATAACTTTTTTTAAATACTTATATTTTTGTGTACATACATCACATTTTCGTAAATGTATTGAGAGGCTAAAGTTAATATATTATTTTCTTCAATTTTTTGTCTTAGAGACTCCTTATTCGCAGATTGCTCTTATGACCCTTTTCTAAAAAACAAATATAGTTTAAGTGACAATATAACAAATAAAACTAATGCATTTTTAAAATTAATCCTAAGCTGGCTCAGCTTTTAACGGATAATTTTGGTCAATTCTACGGTTTACAAATAGCCGGCTTCCACTACTGTTGAAGTCATGCAGTTTTGATCTGTGGTTTAAAATTAATTATATTAAATACAGGTTCCTAAGTAGATGGTAGCACCCAGGTATCTTCTCTATTTAAATAAGGATGTAAGGTTTAATGTAATAATATGGAGTGTGATCCATTTTATTTTCTCAGCTCTATCTACAGAAACTATCTACAGAAGAGGCCGCTTGCATTTCGAATTCATCACGTTTCTAGTTGCTTACAGTTTTACAATAGCTCATCATCAAAGCGTTGAAAGCGGAGAATTAAAAAGTCAGTTTTGCCTTGTTGACATCGACTATAAATCACGGGTGCCGTGTTTATTTTACAAACCGGCTGTTATAGTCAGCGCGGCGGTTTTGCAATGTAAGCGCCGAAGACTGATGCGCGGGAGTCGTAAAAAGGCGGATATAGTCGAATGTACATTTTGATACAGTTGTTTTTTTAATTTTATGAATGCGATGATTGCTTTGAGGAAGAATATCCTTTAAGTTGATTCAAATTAATCATACGCTTGTGCGTATTGATGCCCTTTTAGTAAAACAATCATACAGTGAAAATAAATACAGATACACACCCTTGAAGCCGTGGCTAACTCCAAATATAATCAAATGGACTATCTTGGATTACAAATATACTTAAAAATGCAATAGACGATCACATACCTATTGCTATTGTCCAAAATTCAACAGGTCCAAAACTGTAAAAAATTTGAGATCACTGTCGACGAAATTCGTCTTTGGGCTATACATATCAAAATCATATCAAACAGAATAAGAAAAATCACATATGTTTTAAGTAATTGCGTCAGATGACATATTCTAAATTACTTATACAAACTTTCAGTGCGCTTTGTCAATCTGTCATTACTTATGGGCTCTGTTCATGGGGTGGGGCAGACAAAACTTACTTAATAGACGCTGAAAAAGCACAACGTGCTCTTAAAGTGTTACTTTTCTTCCGTAAAGACATTCCGTAATACTGGTGTATGAAAAAGCACAGGTTCTGAGTGTGGAAAATCGGAAAGCACTCGGTCGTCGACGATTCGAGCCGCTCTGCGCTGGATGCGGTCAAGTGGAAGGAGCTGGTACTGGGGAGCCCCAGCCATACTGGGAGCAGTATTCCATGTGCGGCCGAACCTGCGCCTTGTAAAGTTGCAGGCGGTGTGCCGGCATGAAATACTGTCCCGTTCTGCTGAGCACGCCAAGCTTTTTAGAGGCCAATTTGGCCTTCTCTTCCAAGTGACCACGAAACTGCACGTCACTCGATATGTCGACGCCGAGGATTCCGATACTGGCTGACGCAACAAGGAGAGTGCCTTGAAACTGAGGATATACGACAAAGGGGTTCTTTTTAGCGGTTAAAGCGCAAACTTGTATCTTCTGGGGGTTAAACTGGACTAGATTTAGTCGCACCCAATCCGAGACTCTGTTCAGCAAAGACTCGACTTCAGACACAAGTTTGTCCCGGCACTCGGAGACGTTTTCCCGAGAAATATTGGCTCGGCCGGTGTAAAGAGCATCACCAGTGCTGTCATCTGCATAGCAATGTATGTTACGGGTTTGCAACATATCATTGATATGCAGAAGAAACAGCGGTGGCGATAGCACGCAGCCTTGTGGAACACCAGCATTAATAGGCTTGCAATCGGAGCTTGCACCGTCTACAACGACCTTGATGCTCCGATCTGCAAGAAAGCTGGTGATCCAATCGCACAATTTCTCGGGAAGCCCATAGGATGGGAACTTCGAAAGAAGCGCTTTGTGCCAAATCCGATCGAAGGCCTTCGCAATGTCCAAACTAACGGCCAATGCCTCCCCCTTGGACTCTACTGCCTCCGCCCATCTGTGAGTTAGGTAGACCAGAAGATTACCAGCTGACCGACCACGGTGAAAACCGTATTGGCGGTCAATAATCAGCTGGTTATCCTCAAGGTACCTCATGAGCTGGCAGTTTACAATGGACTCCATTGTTTATGAGAACAAGGAGGTGATGGCGATAGGCCGGTAGTTGGACGGGTCTGAGCGGTCTCCTTTTTTAGGGATCGGGTGGACGAAATCCGTCTTCCATGATTTTTGGACTACGCCTAGGGAGTAGGAGTACCGGAAAAGACGCGTTAAAACCGGTGCCAACTCTGGAGCCCACGTCCTCAGCACAATTGGGATGGGATTCCGTCAGGCCCACTCGACTTGTGGATGTCCAGGGAGGAGTGCTTTGCGAACCGAGCGCTGTGTGAACTGCCCTTCCGGCATGGATCACTCACACCACGGGATGGTCGGTGGCGTACTCCCCCCGTCATCGAGAGTCGAGTTGGACGCAAAGAAAGAGCCTAGAAGATCGGCTTTCTCCTTTGTGGTATGGGCCAGTGAGTCGTCCTCCCTGTGCAGAGATGTAAGAGATGGCTGACAGAAATTCCCCCGGACAGCCTTGGCGAGAGACCAGAATGCACGGGTTCCAGAAGGAAGGCGAACTAGTTTCTCGCCAATTCTGCCTATGTGCTCTGACTTTGCCTTGGCACGACTCTTTTGAAGGACCTAGAGGCGGAATTATACTTCTTTTTTAAAGCGCTGGTGTTTCTCGGGACGTTTATGCGTCAGCCCAGGCTTGGTAGCACTCCTGCTTATAGCATGATGCTATTTTACAGGAGCGACCAAGCCATGGCTGAGATTTACCTCCAATGGGCACCACAGAGCAAGGAATGAAAAGTTCCATACCCTGAAGTACCACATCAGCAACAGAATCCGCAACAACGCTGGGATCGTCCGGCGAGAAGCAAACCAAGGGTAGGATGCAAAGAAAGACCGCATCCCATCCCAATCGGCTGACCTATAGTGCCAAACACGGCGGCAGCCTGCATAATGCAACTGCGATTTCAGCGTGAGTGGCACCACACTCCGAAAAAGACAATGGTCCGAGGAGCCTGTCCGGGTGAGAGGTCAGCAGAAGGTCCAACAGGGAAGGTACATGATCCTCCACATCTGGAATCCGCGTAGGCGAAGCAACCAGTTGTGTCAGACCGTATGCCAAGGCAAAATCATGAACAGATCTCCCCGCATGATCGGTTAAACGTGAACTAAGCCATTCGGCGTGATGGGCGTTAAAGTCGCCGAGGATCACGATCTCTGCGGAGGGGATCTGCTGTAGCAACGAATCTGTAGCCATTTGGACGTGGTCGAAGAGTTGGTCTGTTTCAGTATTACCGCTATGGGACCTATAGAGGCACCCGTAGACGCGCGGATGGTCGTCGCTGTCTACGCGTAGTCAAAGGATGGACAGGTCTGAACCTTCAAGTCTGCCGAGGCGTCGAGAACAGATGTCCTCTCTGACGTAAACGCAAACTCCAGCCCGAGACACAAAGGAGTGTTCCAGTTTGTACCCCGGGTAGAAGAGATACGAGACATCAGCCGGAGAGGACACCTGCGTCTCGGTCAGAAAGAGCAGAGCCGGCCTCGCCGTCTCGAGATGGTAGTGGACGGCGTTTAGGTTAGAGTGAAGTCCCCTGATATTGCAGAAATTCACGGACAGTGTGGCAGGGGTCGCCTTGGTCTTGTTGCTCCGTTTGCCCCGAGCAGTTGTAGTCTTGAGCGGAATTTTGCCCCCCCCCCCCCCCCCAGAATACGCGAGGCATCCTCCCACCCACCCACGCTCAGAAGTGGAGAAACATGGTCGTGGATGCTCAGCGAGGGATTCTCCAGGGATGCTGGTACCCTCCTGTGGTAGTCTCATCATCATCATCATCATTGCAGCCCTTCACAAGTCCACTGCTGAACATAGGCCTCCCCCAAGTAATGCCACAAAGCACGGTCCTGAGCCACCTGCATCCATCGACTTCCTGCATGTCTTACCAGGTCGTCACTCCATCTAGTGGGGGTTCGTCCTACACTACGCCTACCGGTACGAGGCTGCCACTCGAGAACCTTTCTTCCCCATCGGTTATCGGTTCTTCGAGCTATATGGCCGGCCCATTGCCACTTCAGCTTACTAATCCGTTGGGCTATGTCGGTCATTCTGGTTTTACTGCGGACATCCTCATTTCTGAGTCTATCACGCAGTGAAACTCCGAGCATAGCCCTCTCCATAGCTCGCTGAGTGACCTTGAGCGTCCTCATACGGCCAGCGGTGAAGGCTGTGGTAGTCTATCATCATTTAATTCCGCTACCATGTTGATGGGGGGGGGGGATTTTGGCCTCCGGCCACCTGCACTCACCAGATGAAACGCGGAAGCAGAGCTTCCACTTCACGCCGTTATTCTGTGAGGTTTGAGCCGGCCCATACGTGCAACAGCAAGGCTGGAATTCGTCATATCTGCGTCTGCGAGAACTTTATTCGTTTTATGTAATTATTGCGCAATATTGCGTTCTTTCACACTAGTGAAAAATTTTACCAACTTTTGAATTTGAGTTTAAATTTAGGTTTTGTTTAAATTTTTGACTTGAATGTCTTGTTTATCGTATTAAGTGTGAATTTTTACTGTAAATGACCTGAGAACTAGATCTAAACGCCATTCAAGTTTTAGGGTTGTTATTTTAATTAAAGCTGGGCACACCTACAAACATGTATCCCAAGGGTTACCGAGTATTACAATCAGTAGTACACCAAGTTGTCAAGAGGTATCCGCAAACCGGACAGTATATGACTCGCAGAACAGAGGCGTAAACGGAAAACTGTGGCCAAAGATGACCGGTTCATCGTTACCAGCGTGCTTAGAAGCCAGACCACAGAATAAATAGTAGTACTACATACAGAAGTTGCAGTCCTTTGATGTTGACTACTTGCCGACGTTTTAACAGCCTACATAATTATTATTAATTAGATAAATCATTGCATCGCCCAATCATGCAAGCTAAATTAAACTTTACCGCTGCGCCCTAGTGTCCGTCTTGCTTTGCTTCTTTTCCCCTTCCTAAGTCGTGGACGATATTTCGTGGTTACCCGAGGCTTTCAATAAATAGTAAAAAATACCTCTTATTTATTTAATTTACAATTATTGTTTTACTTTAATATAATGTCTTGTGTATTTCACCGACTCTAAAATAAAAAATAGTTCTAAATCCGACGTAATATTTGAAATTAATACTGGGAGAGAAAACATTCATACGGAGTGAACAAATTAATGTTAGTTAGTAATTTTAGTAAATTATTAGCTGGTTTTATTATTCATTTGTTTTCAAAAAGGCAAGCGATTAACATAACAGCCTAAAACGCGCTAGTCCTATCTGCGTACGCAACCTGAGGTTCCGCGCGATTGTAGGTTATATATAATTATATCACACAGGTAGCAAGACTGACATAGACCAGACTGAACCTTTACTTCTTCCTAGGTAAGAACGAAGTTCCAAGAAGTTCGAGAGGTTAAAGTAAGCACAAAAATTTGTGAGAAAATGACTGAAACTACACTTGCTTGCCAGAGGCCCCCTTCTTGCCACATGCTATCGAGTAGCTCGAGTTAATTTTGCTCGCAATCACAAAGATTGTAATGGCGATGCTTGGAATCAGGTTATTTTCACAGATGAGTTTAGATTTTGTCTGAAGCCATATGATGGAAGGATCAAAGTGGGAAGACGCCCGGGAAAGAGGTACACTCTGTGCAACATCATTGGAAAATAGGTAAGTTGTGGTGAGTCAGTTATGGTAAGGGTAGGTGTTTGTACGGGGGCACGTACGGAAATCCGCGTCTTTAAGAATGGGTCACTAATAGCGGCACAATATGTAACTGAGATTTTGGAACAATTGTTGAAAAAAATCCCATGGAGTGGTCAGTGCGCTCGGCGGACTTAAACTCTATAGAGTCATATCTCAAAGGACAAATCAAGAAGAAAAATGTCTTTTCTTCTTGATTTATCTTTTCTTCTCTTTGAGATCTAAAAAAGACATAACGGGAAGAATGGAACGTAGTTTCTCAAGATTTTATTGATAAATTGATTGGAGTACATGATGTATGCCAAGAAGACAGGAAGCATTTCGAAGACCTA